TGAAGAGGCCCACGACGGACAGGACCTAAGTCGACCACGGCAAGGAGGGGACACCTTCCACTCCATCCCAGAGCCAACGCCTGGTGTGACTCCCAGCCCCGCCACCCCGCTGCCTGCTCGCTGAGCGAGGGACGGGCGCCCCCGGGCCCCAGTCCCCGCATCTGTGAAGCAGGGGCTGCCGGACCACTCACCGAGCAGCATTACTAGGAGGGCTCCGGCGCGCCAACACGCGGTCGGTGCTCTGACAGGTGCAACCCGCGCACCACGACCACTTCGCAAAGACGGCCCTGAACAGAAGTCTCTCCCGCCGAGGAGGAGGCAGGAGACGGGAACACTCTGTACCCCGTGCAGGGTCCCTCTCTGGGGAAACAAGCCCACTTCCACGGGGCACAGTTAAACTTCAACCTCTTGCAGAAACTTCCACGAGACTCCCTCCCTCACTGCCTACCCACAGGACAATTAGCGGTGGAGTTACCCCGAGATAAAGAACCGCACACGTACGGACCTTCTCGGATCCTGAAGAGCTGAAAATGCGATTTCAAATCTCCCTTTAATGCAAAACCCCGGCAGAGAGAGGCCAGTTCTTGGAAGACCGACGGGCCCCCCAGCCTGGACTGGAATTTCGCAGGAGTTGGGAGGTGAAATTCCGGTTCTCAAGATAATTAACCGGACTAAGTCAGGAGTGTCACCTGACTCCCTCCCGGCAGACAGACTGCCAAAGGGAGGCTCCTTCCATCAGCAGGTGCGGCCCCCAGGCATCCCCCTTTGCCAGCACAGATCCCATGGCCCTGCGTCAGAGTCCTCCTTCCTGCTGGTCCCGGGGCCACTGGCACACCTGGACCCACCGGCAGGCTGGGCCAGCACCAGCAATACCCGATCAGGGACACGGGAAACAGGAGAGGCGGGAACCTGCTGCTGATTAACTGCGAGATTCTCCGTCAGGAGTGGACATTGATACAACAAAACCTGTACTTCACTCCATCAATATAACTCCAGTACGAGCTACAGAGTGGAAACTGAGGCCAAAATCCCTGCAAAACAATTTTAAAACAAGATCCCCAGGGGAGAGGGCATAGCTCAGTGGTAGAGCGCATGCCTAGCATGCACAAGGTCCTGGGTTCAATCTCCAGCATCTCCATTAAAGAAGGATAAATAAAAAAACAAAAAGTTACTTACTTACCTCCCTCCACAAAAAAATTGATTAAACGAAAAGGAAAAAAAAACACAAGATCCCCAGCGTCCACCTTTGCTTGTCAAATCAAACTGTTGTTAGCAAGTCCACTTAACGTCTCAGGATCTCGGCAGGTTTTCCCCAAACATTTCCGCTGTGAAACAGACACACATGTGCGCACACAAAAGGGTATAAAATGTGTATGGAGAGTTTAACAAAATTATTCCTCAAACACACGTGGAACCACCACCCAGGTCAAAAATTAAAAGGCCACTGGGGTCCTGAAGCCCCCTTGTCCTGCATACGCTGCAGACGCTCCCTTCTCCCACCAGAGGCAATCGCAGCCCCATTTTCACGCCATTTCCCTTGGGCTTTACAATTCTCTCACCTGTGTGGGCAGCCCCACACAGCAGTCCAATTCTGCATGGTTTCGAACTTTTTATCAACTGGAGCCACACAGTATGTGTTTTCTCTGTCCGGCTTCTCTGGGCACCCTCAGCGCAGGGTGAAGGGACTCAGTATTTGCAAAAGGTCACGAAACAGGACATCACAGAGGTCATCTGAGGACATGTCCCTGGCTCTAAGAGCCTAATAACTGAGCTGACTGAAACCGATTCAACAGGCCCAGCTACCAGCAGCAGCCGCCTCCAGGCTGAAGAACTAGTCCAGCAGGACAGAGGCTCTGTTTACGAAGGGCAGGCATTAGGGCAATTCTTCATATTGAGTCCAGTGAAAGGATTACATTTAATGACATCAGCACCTCAGAAGCACAAACCGACGTTCCTTGATGCGTTAGTATGCAGACAGCAAACAGAAAACGACGAGAAGTGTTTTCAGCAGTGGAGAACACAGCCAAGCGAAACGAGCAGGCGGTAAAACATAACTGTGCCAAAAGCGCAGGCAAAGGAACAAGGAGATGCGCTGAGAGGCAGTGGCTGTGGGGCCACAGGTGATCTCTCTTCTGTAAAACGTCTGCGTCTGTGGTTCTCACTTGCATAGCAACATTCTCCTCGAAGAGCCAAGCCGCACACAATGCGGAATTCTGCCTGTCTGCTCGCAACTCACTCCTAACACCTGCAGCAGGGAACTTCGCTGGCACAGAGCAGGTTGCGAAAGACTCTTGGAAAACAACGTAAGTGAACTTCTCGGAGAGACCTCCAGTCCCTAACGAGCTTCCCTGGAATTCATCAAACATCATGAAATCTCACTTTACACTTTGCTTAGCTCGCAAACTCCAGATTGGGAGACAGCGCTGAAGACCCCCCCACACACACCCTGCAACGGCACACACATTCGCCCACAACCCAGCGGCACAGAACAGGGACAGGTGGGGCCTCAGGTTGTCCCAGGGCTCAATTCACAACACGTCTGGGGCCCTCCTGTGCCCACCGGTCCCATGTGAGTGAGGTTTTCCCACTGATGCCTGGTCTCGTTATGATTTCTTAATGATTCTACAATAAAAACCTTCAAAGGATGAGAACACCTGTTCTCCGTAGCGTATCGCGGTCAAGGGTCGCACTCCTTGAATTCCTGCAGGTCCCGGCCGCCTGCCTGCTGGACTCCAGGTTTTAACTGCTGGGGCGGTTCCTCTTAAGATACACCGTGGGCCCCTCGAGGCTGTGCACATCCGCCCTGCACCTCACCCCTCCAGCCTCTCCCCCAGCACGCAGTGGGCCAAACATCTTTTTGTGATGCGTTTTTCTTAGGAAAGAAAAAATGAACCAAGACAGAATTCCCCCAGCCAGAACACATCACGCTCTTGCTAACCACAAATTCTGGCAAAATCTGCTCTACATGGGAGTGATTCAGTTCCTCTTTCTTCAAATTGACACACTTTACCTTGCAAATATCTGTGTGTGGGAGAGAGAGAGAGACAGAGCTCAGAGAACATTAACACAAATGTAAATGATATTCCCAGAGCTACCACTGTTATGAAATTGAAATGTGGTAGGTACTAGCCTAAAAAACACGTATCATAAAAATGCAATTCTATTCCAACCCAGGAGCCCTTTCCGCATGGCAGGTATTACTCCAGATACTGGCATGTAACGAAAAACAACAGTTTCTGCCCATCGGGAGTTGACGGCAACATGCGTAACAGAGGGAGGGGTGGGCAGGAAGGGTTTCTGCCCTAGGCCAGACGGTACTTCAAGCTGCAATTTAATCACCGTCACAGGCACACATCTTAAGCGACAGCTAGATGAGTTCTGACCCGTGTGCACAGGCAGAGCAGCAGCGGCAAGGCTGGTGGCCGGGGCACCAGGGCAGGGAGATCGCCCACGCAGCCGACGGTGCAGAGGCTCGGAGGGCGAGCAGAGTTCAGCCCCGACCCCACAGGGACCCAGGAGGCGTCCCCAGATCGGGGAAGACAAATGGCTCAGAGCCTCCCAACCGAATAAGGCGCCTGGAGCGCCTGCTGTCCGTGAGGCGCTCCGACAGGACTGAGGCTGATTCTCCCTCGTTCTAAGACTAAGTGCAGGTCCGAGGGTTGGAGGGCAGCCGGGCTAGGATGCACGGCGGTAACGCGTCCACATTTTTGTCATTGGATGATGCAATCCCCAGATCAGATCAGACGATCAAGCACGTGCCCTACTCATTCTTTGCAGCTCCGAGTCACAAGCATTGAGCTTTAGAGCCTCAAAACAGGCCCTGAAATAAACTCTCATCCTGCACGGTCAGGAAGCAGAGCGTGCCAGCCAATCAGGCATTTTGATGGTTATAATTTTCATATAAAATCCACAAAGGGTTTATGTTCAAAATACAAAAAGAACTGCTACAAATTAAAGGGAAAAGACAATCCCGTAAGAAAAAGGGCAAAAGACCAGACTGCTCAGAGCGGCCGCACAAGGCGAAAGTATTGTAAGAAACTAAATCCCACTCACAACCAAAGGAATCACAAACAAAACACGTCCTTAATTTCTTTAATTCTGAAGCGAATTTTTTAAATAGCATTTAATATCGATGAGGTTACGTGAAAAGGCTGCACTGCCATTACAGGCATAAATTGGTAATAGCCGCCAGAGAGGATAACGTGTCAAGTTTTTGTTAAAACAAAAAATGTGCAAACCTGTGACCCAACAATGCCCTTCTGAGGGTATCTACCTGTGGTGGGCAGAATAATGACCCCCAAAGGCACCTAAATCCTAATCCCTGGAACCCGTGACTCTGTTAGGTTACGTACGAAAGGGGAATTAAAGGTGTGGATGAAATTTAGGTTGCTAATCAGCAAACCTTAAAACAGGGCGAGGATGTGGATTACAGGTGGGCCTAAAGTAACACCGACAGTCCTTAGAAGTGGAAGAAGTGGACAAGAAAGTCAGAGAGATGACAGCGTGACAGAGCTGTGGCCCACAGCTGCTGGAGAAAGGGGATTATCAGGCAGGGAATGTGGGAGGCATCGGGAGCTGGAAAAGGCCAGGAATCAAACCTGGGGCCTCCAGATGGAACACAGCCCTGCCCACATCTGGATTTTAGCCCAGAGAAACCCGTTCTGAACTACTGACCTCCAGAACTGTAAGATGACAAATTTTTGTTGTTTAAGCCACTAAGTTCGTGGTCATCTGTTACAGCACCAGTAGGAAACTAGCCCACGGCCCTAGGGAAACACGGGCACACATACACACATGCGTCAGCCGTCCCAGTACACGGATGTACAAAACAGGAAAGCAGAACGAGAGGATCCAGCCCCAACTGGGCAGAGGGGGTGGGTGCAAGCAGGGCGAGGTTTTAATCTATAATGTTCTGTCTTTTTTTTCTTTTTAAAGAAAATGTGTTTGTCCATGTACTACATAACTGAAAGTTAAATTTTCAGTAGGGGAGTTACCATTCAAGGCTGCAGCTTCATGGAATTACAATATAATAAGACTCTTCAGGCTGAAAACTACAGTGAACACAACCCATTTTTCTGACAATCCCAAAGGCACTACAAAGACCTAGACGCCACGGTCCCCACAACCAGCACTGATGGCGGGCTCTGGCTGTGTGGCCAGAGCACCAGAGAAGAGGAAGTTCCTTGCACATCCATGAGCCACGGCTTCTTCAACAGCCGCAATCAACCTCTGTCAAAGTGTGAGAGCTACACATACCGTCTTCGGATAAAATGCATTCCAAAGGCTTATGTTTGCAGACTCCAGCCCCATGCAACCACAGTCCCCACCACGACGTGCCCCCTTAACAATGCCCCCTTCGGCCCAGCCACTTGCCTTTGGGTTTTAGTTTTCCCAGTGTGGGGGGTAAGTTCTCCTCGACTCCTTCACCTGCTTCACAGGATGACAAGGACTTAAATGGAACGAAAGGGCAGGCTACGTCCCAATGGTCCATGAACTCCACTTTAAGATTCACCACCTAAAGGAAAGCGC